TCGATGGATCGCGGGTATTCTTCTATTTCAATTTAATCTCGTTCATGTGCCCGCCGCGAAACACGCCGGCGTAGACGGTCTCTCAAGGAGACCGCGCACCGACGATGATCCAGAAGAAGATGACGATCACGAGGATTGGATTGACCGCGCTTACTCATTTGGGTTCGCGATCCTGAACGATAGGACGCTCCAAGTAGAGTCGGCCGGCGCCAAATATGATTTAACCGCACATATGATGCCGTTCACGCAGTTACCGAGGCGCCTACCTGTCTTACGAACCTTCCTTGATGTTGCAGAGCCACTACAAGATGACCCGCAGATTCCGCGATCCGAGAAAGCGCAAGCGCTCGATAGGCGCATGGTATTGATAGAACGTTTCCTACTCAATCGCAACAAACCCGCTGAATTTACAGATGATGCTTTCACCGTGTTCGTTAACCATGCGGCGCGCTTCTTTGTTCTGGAAGATAACCTTTGGCGCCGCGAGGCGAACGGCAAGCACCAGATCGTGGTAAGGCCGCATAAGCGCTACCAAATTTTGAAGCAAGCGCACGACGATCTAGGGCACAAAGGAATATACGCCGTTCGCTCGTGGTTGCTACTGCGTTTTTGGTGGCCGCACATAGATGACGACATTAAATGGTACACGCGCACATGCCACGAGTGCCAGACCAGGCAATCGCTCAAGCTTCATGTCCCGCCGATGGTACCGACGCCAGGAGGATTGTTCCGCAGGGTGCACATTGACACAATGAAAATGCCCAAAGCGGGAGGATATGAGTATCTAGTTCAAGCGCGTTGCGCACTTACGTCATATCCGGAATGGCGCATGTTGCGCAAGGAGAATACGAAATCGCTTATGGCCTTCATATATGAAGAACTCCTATGTCGATGGGGCCCTATCACGGAGATTATTACTGACAACGCGCCCGCTTATAGATTAGCCGCTGATATGCTCGCAGAGCGGTATGATATCCACCTAATCCACATATCGCCTTATAATTCGCAAGCGAATGGTATAGTAGAGCGCCAACATCGTGATGTCCGGGAGGCCATCATTAAAACTTGCGATGGAGATGATACTCATTGGTATCAAGTCGTTCACTCGGTATTTTGGGCCGAGCGCGTCACCATACATCGCGCAACGGGTTTATCACCGTATTTTATGGTGCACGGCGTAGAGCCGATCTTCCCTTTTGACCTAACAGAAGCAATGTTCTTAGCGCCAACACCAGCGCGCGCGGCGTTTAGTACCACAGAACTCATTGCATGGCACGCACACCAGTTGCAGAAGCGCATTGAGGATCTCACGGCTATTAGAGACAAGGTAATGAAGGCGCGCTTCGCGTCGGTTCGCGACTTCGAAAAACGCTTCCGTGCGACTATCCGCGACTATGATCACGCGCCCGGCACCTTAGTGCTGGTGCGCAATTCGAAGGTTGAGTACGAGCTCAGCAAGAAGACAAAGCCGCGATACTTGGGACCAATGATAATAGTGCGCCGCACGAAGGGAGGCTCATATCTGCTGGCCGAGTTGGACGGCGCTATCTCTAAATTGCGCTACGCAGCGTTCCGCGTCATTCCCTATTTTCCGCGCAGCAATGAGCGCATTATGGTGACAAGCATCACCGGTAAAGACGACGAAACCCTTGATCACTTAGCTGACGAAGATGTCGAAGAACCCGACGAAGACGAACCCGAGCGCGCGTTTGACGCATAGCGCTTATCCACTTCCCGCATATTAACCAACACTCTCACGCACATATCCGCACAAAACCGCTATTACCCCGCTCAACACATCAACAAAAACAACATATAACCCAAAAACAACCGCAAAAACATACCATAGATTTCACTTCTCTCCGTTTTACCCCGGGCTTCGGCCGGCGACCTCAGTTTCCCTTATCATGTCTCATAACATGCGCATTGCATTGAACATACAACCAACAGACTCTATCCTATGCAAAGCCGATCGGCCGATAATCAACCCCATATATATATATATATATTCAAAAGATAAGTTATCATAGAAGCGCGCGCATAACCACCCATAGACCTTCTCTTTCGAACGCGCGCCGCCGCGCCATGCACATTTACGTTTATAATGTTATATGCCAACAGCACCTAATACCCAGGCAACGCACAGGGATAACGAAGGAATAGACGCGACAGGACGTCCGATGAAGAAAAGACAAGCGCGCAGCTTGCGCGACCGCCGTATTTTCTTATGACTCTATATTATTTCATGCGCTTACTCAGAATTTCCTTACTTCATTAGGCTGGCGAACTGAATCAGACATGGAAATGGAATTGGATTGGAATCGGACCGGATGCGACAGGATACTAATATTAAGATGCACCAGGCGCCGCTCTGCGGGGAGACTCTATAGTACAGGCGCGCTGGCGCCAACAGGGACTCTATACTAAGAAGAAAACATTCTAGCTATCACTCCTTCTTCTCCTCTAGCATTTCCGCAATCTCCTTCTCCCAAGCACCCCAATCGCGCCCCATGCTGTAAATGCGATTGCTCATCGCCAATACCTCCGCCTCCTGCATACGGCTATGCTGCCGCATGTCAACAACTACCCCCTTCCACTTCGCCACCTCGGCCTCCAGCTCAGCGTTTCGAATGCGCAGTTGAGCGGCCTCGATACGAGACTCGTCCAACTGCGCCGCCAAGTCAAGGCGAGGGCGCTTAGGCGCCGGCGCAGGACGGGAAGCGAGAGGACGCTTCGCACGTTGAACGACAATCGTCTTGCCGCCAACGGCGGCATCCTCATCAATGGTCGACTCACCGACGATTTCCACGTCCGATGAACCAACATTAGGGACGGTATCAGTAACCGAACCCGGCGCCGGCCCAGCGACAGGAGGAGGCGTTTTGCCCTTAGGGGCAGGCGCAGGAACAGGTGTCTTCGCCTTAGGCGCAGCGGTCGACGCGGCCACCTTGGGTTTCGGCGCAGCCGGCGCGCGCTCCTTTGCCTTGTCGCCAACTGAAAGAAGATAGTTAGTAAAAAGATGAAAGAAGGAAAAGAGGAAACATACCAAAGGAACAGCCCTTCTTGGCCTTGGTGCATCCCTTGCAGCGCAGGTTGCCATCGACCAGCACACAAGGGATCTCAGCAGTCGCGCATCGCGTGCACGGGACGTCCAGATGCGTAATCACCGGAGTCGTGGTAATACGACCGCCGAGACGCTAGTAAGAACAAGTTAGCGAAAAAGAGGAGACATAAAAGAAAGAAACTTACCGGGCGACCCATGTCAGTCACCTCCGATGAGGCCGCCTTCTCAGCCGTCGGCGCAGATTCCAGCGCCTTCTCTTTCTCCAAACGCACCTGACGCGCCGTCGGCGCGGACTCCACAGCCTTCTCCTTCCAAGCCTTAACGGTCTTGTAAAGGGCCTTAGCGGCGACCTTGCCAGCGGCAAGATCGACCGCTTCCGCATCGCTGAGGGACAGATGTACCTCAGCGGCGCGCGCCTGGTCAAACAGCGAACTCATGTCGCTCTAAGAAAAGTTATATTAGTGATCAGTAAGCGACACATCAATCATACAAACTCACCATAGTCCGTTCCCAAGCGCGGAGCCAAGTCTCCTGATCTTCGAGGAGCTCCGGTTTCGCAGGAGGACTGGTCTTCACCGAGACACGCATCATGCCTAGTGTCACCGCCCAAGACCGACGGATCCGGTTGGCAACGGTTTCCTGCGGCTCCTTCGGAGTCGCGTCGTCGAGGGTGGCGTCGTCAACGGACGTGTTACCTTCATCTTGAGGGCGCTCCTCAGGTTCGGGTGAAGGGGAGGGAGACGCAGTAAGCATAGCAGGGTTAAAAGGAATGGAGGACATGATGGTATAGCGATGAAGAGATTATCGCGAAGACGCGATGGATAATTGAATTGAAGAAGAGAAGCGCGACGCGAGGCCGGTTCTTTTATGCCCGAAACGAACCACATTATGTCAGCACAATAGCGCTCGCAGTCCACAAGCTCGCAAAACGCCGGTGGACCGTTCCACATACGCTTTCAACGCGTCCTACCCACGGTCACGTGACTTTCCTCGTCGAAATTTTACCAAGTCTCTCCGCCCCTATATACACTGACTGGGGACAGTCAGAAGCTAAGTTCCTATGAGATGTAGAGACTAATATCTCTGTGGCCTTGCAGGGGTCTAAAATCCCATTCTTACTACCACTTCCTCACATAGCGCGACTCATACCTCACGCAGCGCGCCCCCGCGCTTTGTCGGCCGCTCGCAAGCGCCAGTGCTCCGGTCGCTTCTTAGTCGCGCATCAGCACGCACATCCTTGGTTCCGTCGCACGTCCTCCGTCCATCCATTCCATGTCCGTTCGGTTTGTCGGTGCGTATTCCGATTCTATTTTCATTGATTTAACATATCTCTGGCGCTTATGGTCATATTTCGTATGTTTCCGTTATGAACCCTTATTACATATTATCTCGCGTCCGCTTCGCTTCTCGGCTCGCTTTAGCGCTTGACAGCGCTTATCATTACTTAGTATATATAGACGTACATAAACTGTGTAAGGGTATCTTTTCCTGCCCACACGTCGTTGGACTATAAGTCTAAAGTTATCCTCTAAAAACTAGAAAGGGTATCAAAGTACAATACGAGCGCCGTCGCCGTACTCTACTAGAAACTCTGTCAAATTAGTATTCTGACTCATTAAGAGTCGCTGCGCTCTATCACCCCCGCGCGCATCGCTTCTGCTTAAAGCGCGCGCTTCCGTATAAGTCGCACGCCGATATCTGTCGTCGGCCGCTATCGCTCATCGGCGCCTCACGTCGCTTTCGTTCGCTCGCGCTTCACTCATTGTCGCGCGCCTAACCAGGCTTGACCAAGCGCCCAGTTCAGTGTTTCCCTCCGTTTATACACCTAGAGGAACCTTCTCAGTAGCAATCCCCTTGGGCCGACGTATATCTCGCTCACCGAGGACTACTTGAGTTATCTCACACCACCTATTTTCACCCACTTTCCATTCCTCTTCTACACCGTTTCTGCTCCTCCAGGGGAAGGGACGCCACGGGCTCCCTCCCCTGCGTATTCCGTCGACACGCCCATCTGCTTATATAGTGATGTGGTGTTGATGCGTATTCCCTCGATGCCTGGTGCACTCGAGGCGACCCCAATTGGGGCTATGAAGCCCACCGGTCCAAAGACCAGGAAGCCGGCTTTGGTGAGGGCAGACCCCGTAGAGACAACACCTGTAAGCACTGAAGTCAGTAGAGAAGAATATAAGAAACCTAGGGTTACCTTTGATCTGCATGATGAGTCAGATCTATCGTCCAGTGAGAAATCCACTGAGTCTGGTGACGACCAGAGCAGCGAATGGACGAACATGCAATGGAAGCGAGGGAGAAAGATCCCATCACGTGAGGTATCGCAGGAAGCTCTGAGTTGAGCCAGGAACAAGAAAACCTGGTGAAGTTAGCAGAGAATAAGCTAACTGAAAACAATCATATGAGAATTGAGGCCAGGCAGCGCACCTTGAACCTCAACTGAGAAAGTGCCGAGTCCAGAGGGGAGGGTTCCTCCCGGGACAAGGGCAAAGCTCCGGATCCTCGAAACTGGGGTGACGTCGAGCTAGATGACGGAGATGTGGATCTGGACGCCCAAAGAGCGGCGCTAGAGTCCTTCCGTAAGGCCTGAGAACTCGATGAAGCTGAGCGACAGGAACAGCACGAAGTCCTGAGATCTCTTGATGAGTCTCAGGAAGACGATAGCTTGGTCTCAGGTGCCAGGGAAAAAGGGGACTATGTGCCCTGCACCCGGGCCGAATCAGCAGTGAGAGCTATTAGGGAAAAGGTATCTATGCAATATGAGGCCCGCATCCAAGAATTAGAAGCAAAACTCGCCTTGAACGTGGGTAGTGATGGGAGGAAGGGTCGAAAGAGACCATTCAACCCTGTAGATGCGATGGTGAACCGGGTGCTCGAGAGGGCGTCAAGTCTGCCACCAGCTAGATCCACCCCGCAGGCGATGGAACCCATCCAGCAGGTGGCACCCTGAAGTTATATTGGACAGGCCCTTGACAGGCCCTTGACAGGCTGAAACCCTCAAAGAAGGGTAAGAGTAAGAAAACCAAAAGAAAAAGGAAACACACCCCACGTGACCCAAGTGATGACGAGGACTCCAGTGAGTCAAGCTCGTCGTCGAGTCCGTCGGAGTACTCACCCAAATCCTCTGATCCCAGCGAGTCATCGTCAGACGACTCCGGTAATGGTTCCTCACAACGGCATACTAAGAAGAAGAAACGTAGCTGTAAGAATAAGAAAAACACTCTAAAGCCAATCCCACCTGTGAACTATGATGGATCTCTGGATTCTCGCGCGTTCCACCAGTTCTTGACGGAAGGCACGGCCTACGTCAAGGATGGACAGGTGGAACGCGAACGGAGGGTCTTCATACTAGCGCATTACCTAAATGGTCGCGCATGTGAGTTCTATATGAGGGAGGTATCTGGAGATCCTTACCATTGGAGATTGAGGAGGTTCCTCCCAGAGTTGTTCAACCATTGCTTCCCCATTGACTTCAGGATGAAGCAAAGGGAGAAGCTAAACCGTTGTTATCAGAATGATAAGACAGTCAGAGAATATATCTATGAACTAAGTGAGCTTTGGAACATGATTGGTGACGTGGCCGAAAGACAAAGAGTAACTCGCCTTTGGACTGGTTTGAATCCTAGTATCCAGACCGAACTCTGGAAAAAGGAGCTTAATCCAGAGTCATCATCGTTCCGGGAGGTCCAAAGTGTGGCCGAGGTGATAGAGATTGCCCATTCCATACCTACCAGAGGTCGTGAGCGTCGAGCCAAGGATGGAGGAAACCCCAACCCCAAGTCAGGGAAAGGAGAGGGAGGAACACAGCCTAGAACGGACGACCAGAAAGGGAAGCGTGATGACCATGGCTGAAATGGCCAAGTCTGCAACCGACATGACCGATCTGAGAGAGCCGGGCCATCTAAGGATGCGGCCAATCAACGTAGAGACAGAGACAGATCCAAGAACTCACCTATGGAGAAAAGGCCTGACAGACTCAGTGCAGTGGAGAAGGAACGACACGCTGCTGAGGGTCTGTGTTATGTGTGCCACCAGCTGGGGCATATATCAAGGAACTGTCCGAAAAAGACAACCATTAGTGCCGGGAACAACAAAGGCACCCCACCCACCATGCACCAGTATGGGATGGATGTGAGCCTGGCTGACTCTGACCGAATCAGATCCCTTGATGACCCTTTGGCATCTAATGATTTATCTGAGTTAACATGTGCTTCCATGACGTTAAACTTTGAAGGAAACTCACCTCCAGTAAGACCCAAACCCATGCTGAATGTGATGGGAGACCCTTTGGCAGAACGCGCGATGGAATTACTCCACCGGAAGTCAGGACATTACCTAGGCGATGATGCTGACAAAATCCCTGACCTGGAGCAATTCTTGGTGTATCGGGTCTCGGATTCCAAGCACACTATAATGGATCGTGAGGATAGGAGAGATCCAGAATTAATGATACTTACCTCGTCGTTGTTAAACCCCAGATTCTGCTTAGAAGGGTGGTATTCTCAACATGTAGGGCAACTCCGAGGATATCTCCCTCAGGAGATTCGAAAAATGAGAACCTGACCAAGAGGACCGGTTATGGGCATACTGTTGGGAAACCAAGTGACTGAGCTCCTCCAGGAGAACGGACCTTATGAAAAGGACTTAGTGCAATATTCTCATCCAGAACGATTTGAATGCTTACGTTTACACGATGGATCGTACGCGGTACGAGATTACGCCAAGGCATATTGAGTATCAGTCCCGTTCCACCTCCTACTTCGGGAAATGTTTGATGTGGTCCACTGGTTCAAGTCGATGTTAACGCGCACCTATGGGAGGTTGTGCGATGTGATTGAAGCTAACGCACCTGAGTATGATATCCTTCACCTCTTGGACAGGGGGAATCTGACACCAGTGGAATGTCAGCTAGATGACATCGCAAGGCAAATCTACACCCTGCCCCCGGATGCAAAGGTTATGTGTAAGGATGCGCACCTGTTCGTGCTTGAGCTCAATGGACAACAGATACCGGCAGGGACTTACCCTGCACTACATCGAACAGCTGTGGTGGCAAAAGATTTCAAATGGGTGATTCCAAAACCCTTAGTGGTGACGGTCCATATTAATGGGCATCCGGCATGGGCATTGATCGATTCTGGATCATTGTCAGATTTCATGTCCGTGACTTTAGCAGATCAATTGAAAATACCTCGGATTGAGCTGGCTAAGCCCATAGTTGTCCAGCTCGCCGTGCAAGGATCTCGCTCCAAGGTGAATTACGGGGCCACGGCTCAGCTTAGGTACCAAGCCATTGACTCGAAACACTACTTCGACATAATCAATCTGCAGAATTACGATTTAGTATTGGGAACACCGTTTTTGTTCCAGCATAAAGTAATGATCAGATTGAACCCACCTAGAGTCATGATTGGGAGCGTCGATCAGCAGCCCATGAAGGGCGAGCAGGTCACGATGTTAGAGTCGCGCATGTCGGAAGTCTACGAGGAGAATTTGGACAAAGTCTGCGCACAACTGAATGAGCTTGCATGACCTTTGTGTGCCAAAGTGAGCGAGACGAGCCTACCTCCTCTGCGTGCGATCAATCACACAATCCCCCTCATTGACGAGGGAAAAATCTACCTGTGGCAACCGTCCTGATGCCCCGAGCCCTTGCGGCCACAGTGGGCAGATAAGAGAAGATCATACCTTGCCTCGGGCCACTGGCAAGTCACCAGTGTGGGCAACACGGTTCCCATGCTCTTCATCCGTAAGCTGGGATCAGACAAATTACGCATGGTGGTAGACTTGCATGAACGAAATAAGAACACTAGAAAATTGACTTCACCTCTGCCAGATATGGAAGGCATCCTGCGCCGAGTGGCCGGGAAGAAGTTCAAGTCCGTCCTGGATGGACAGGACGCGTATGAACAAATAAGGGTGGTGCCGGAACATGTGCCCCGCACCGCGATGACTACGCCTGATGGGAATATGGTCAGCCATGTTCTGCAGCAGGGTGATTGTAATGTGCCAGCAACTTACCAGGCCCTAATGAATTACTTGTTTGGCGAGTTCCTTGGCACCTGGATGGATGTGTACCTGGATGATATCATAATATACTCTGATACACTACACAAACACATTGAGCATGTCAAGACCATTCTGAAGATATTAGACCGAGAGAAACTTTACCTCAGTCAAAAGAAGATCCAGTTCCTCTGCGATGATGTGAAGATCTTGGGCAGAATAGTCGGGAGGGACGGTATTCGTATGGACCCAGAGAAGGTCGACAATGTCTTGAGCTGGAAGACCCCGACGAACCGCGACCTTTGTTGCGGATTCATCAGTTCAGTAGGGTACTTGGCTGATGATATCTATCGCGTCCGGATACCGTTAGGTGTTACAGTAACATGACGTGAGCCCCCAGCTACAGATAGCCCTCTGCCACCTTGCACGGCGAAGACACGATACCTTGGCCTTTAGGCCTTGATAACAAGACAACAATTAGAAGAGAAGCCCGGAAGATGCCGGATTAGATAAGTGGTCTGGATCACTTACATGATTATGACGACATAGGTCTAGAAGACCTATTTATGTTATCAAGATAGAAGGCAAGCCTCATGGTTGCCTCATGTACTGATAGAAGGACGCCTCATGGTCCTTATCTTAGATAGAAGCCTGCCTCATGCATGGTATCTCTGACTCGATAGATAAGCACTTAGAACCCAGCTTCAAGCTGAGCTTAGATACGATAGAGTAGCCTTATATAAGGTTGATAGATTAAAGTAGATGTTCCTTACTTTAATCTTACTGGGTTTTACCTTGAAACTCTTGTCCTGCTAAAGCTACTTGCTCGACATTCAATCCGCACCTTCAGGAGGACTTGAGACCCCTTCTGCCTGTAATCGCTATCATCGCTCACCTCCGCAAGCATATGCAACTCCTGCCTGTCTGTAGGAGCCGACCTTGGACTCTCAGCATGAGGTATTACTGTCGTGATCGTTGCTGTTAGATTATCCCAGTCCGCACACGACCAACCATCGTAACATTAGGTGTGCTGTCTGAGGTAACTGGGGATGCCGTACCTTTTAAGTGGGACTATGCCCAACAGCGTGCCTTTGAGACTGTCAAGCAATATGTCGCGACTTGCGCACCTCATTGTTGTGTGCCCCTGGTTTACGGCCCGGAGGCACCACCCATCTACATGATGACTGATGCTTGCCTGGGAGGGATAGGGGGTGTGGTAGCACAGGGCGCGGACTGGCAAACAGCCACAGTGGCAGCCTTTTACTCAGCTAAATTGAATCCGGCCCAGAGGAATTACCCTGTGCATGAATAGGAAATGTTGGCGGGTGTCGAGACCATGCTGCGACACCGGGACATCTTACAAGGGGCCCAGTTTGTATGGCTCACGGACCACAAGGGACTGGTTCATTTACTGAACCAGCAAAACCTGTCTGGAAGGCAGGCAAGGTGGATTGAGAAGCTGGGCGAGTTTGATTTTGAGGTGAAATACTTACCGGGCGTTGAAAACCTACTGCCGGACGCGCTGTCGAGGATGTACGTGTTTGACGCGCCGGGCACAGTGCGCACCCCTAGTGAATACGTTCAGCACGATATGGGCAATGACTTTGCCAAAACAGCTCACCTGGTGTCCATGCCCATGATAGTGGGCGAGGAAGCGTTAGCAGCCAATCCCCGGCATGGAGGTAGGATTGCAGCGTTAGCAACCAATCCTCGGCCTAACCTACCAGAAGCGTTAGCAACCAATCCCCGGTGTGGAAGGAGGGTTGCAGTGTTAGCACCCACTCCTCAGCCTGACACACCAAGGGCGTCAGGACCGGATCTTCAACATAGTGCGAGGATGGCACGGCGTGCCTTGGAGGCCATAGTTGTGGCTGCCCCTTATGTGCTAGGGACGGATAGCATGGGGAGGATGGCCATACGGCAGGGAGTCTTGCCATTACCTGATGGTGGGGTGGCTGAGCCCATGCCACCAAGGCCCAAACGCACCTGTGCAGTGGTCGCACCAGCTGAGACTGGGCGACCTGAAATGGCGGAGGAGTTTTCGCATCGCATGAGAGAACATTTCGTCCTCCTGGGCCCAGGAGTATGAAAGAAGGGGGGGAAGAGCGTGAACACTTATCACCACAAACCTGAACACATTGAACACATTAGCGAACCTAATGCAGTCCCGGACAATGGACTCACTGAATGACCCTTAGTAGGGATGCAACTACCAGTGTACCCAGAGGAAGAGCTAATGGGTGACATAAGACATCAATATCATAGGGACCTGTTTTATAAGAAAATCCTAGACTCACCAAAGGAATTCCGTAACTTCGTGGTAGAGGATGGGATCATGAGAATAAAGCTAAACGATAGAATGTTAATATGTGTACCAGACATCAAACTTAATGAACGGAAGCTGCAGGAGGTCATCATCAGTCAAGCGCATTCATTACTGGCCCATCTGGGACCAAGGAAGACACTGACCTACCTGTGTGACCATGTTTGGTGGAAAACCATGGTAGCCGATGTACAGGCTTATTGTGAATCCTGTGTAATGTGCCAGAGGAGTAAGCCACCCAACCAAAGACCTTATGGACTGCTGAACTCACTGTCGGTGCCATCATACCCTTGGGAAGCCATTGGGATCGATTTCGTAGGACCCCTACCTATATCGAAAGATAGAAATGCTGAGTATGACTCAGTAACCATAGTAATAGACCTACTCACCAGAATGGTCCATCTCGTGCCGAGCCGCACGACGTACACTGCCCAAGAGGCCACAGAACTAATCTTCTCCGAAGTGTACAAATTACATGGACTGCCTAGGTCGATAGTCAGCGACCGAGACGTCCTGTTCACAAGTGGATTCTGGACTCACTTTCAGAAGCTAATCGGCGTGAAACAAAGAATGTCTAGTGTGTACCATCCTGAGACAGATGGCGTGACCGAGTGAGTGAATTGCACTGTGACCCAGATGCTGAGGTCATGTATATCCCCGAATCAAAGGGACTGGGTATCACGGCTACCTGCAATCAAGTTCACAATTAACATAGCAACATCTGAGAGCACTGGGTACTCACCATTTTTCACTAACTATGGAAGACTACCTCGGCCCATGATCTGGAACAACCCGGGGCCGTCAGAATACCCTGGCGTGCGGGTATACACCCAGAAGCTAAAACACACTATAATGTCAGCTCACGACTCGATGATAGCAGCACGAGTGAAACAGACCCAGGACGCCAATAGGCACCGACGATCGTGCCCGCTGCGAAAGGATGACTTAGTGTACCTGTCAACTAAGAACATTAGCTTCCTGAAGGGCCTAGCCTGTAAGTTCTTACCAAAATTTGTGGGACCGTACCGGATTCTGGAAGACTACAATAACAATTCTTTTCGGCTGCAATTGCTGGACAGAATGAGGCAATGTGGGATTCATGACGTATTCCATTCTTCTTACCTTCGCATCCACTTACCAAACGACAACCGATTGTTCCCAGGTCGACTCGACAACCAGGTGGCTGAGTTCAAGGAGGAAGAGCAAGAATGGGCAGTGGACAGGATCCTATCCCACAAGGGGACCCGGTCAGATGCTGTCTTTGAGGTCAGATGGAAGTCTGGGGACGTGACCTGGTTACCTTACGATCAAGTTGATCATTTAGCCATGCTGCAGGAGTACTTCGATGTCTTAGACATCGAGCATGTCTCAGAATTGACAGAAGGTAATGGGTTGCCACCTACTGATAACCCACAGGTGTTTCTAGGTCATCTAGGTCTGGGACTGGACTATATAACCCCCACCTCCCCTTCCAATTCCTCCACAACTCCTCAACTCCAATGCTCATCCCAACGCCAACCATCGACCATGTCCAATCCCAATCCAGCGCCACTATTTCGAACCTTGGGCAATGGCCGCTTTGCCATGCCCGACCGGTACCGACCTGGGGTCACTCTCCTCCTGACCCTAGACCAGATCAAGCTCTACCTTCAGCACGATGCTGATCTGCGAGGAGGTATCGAGCCTACCACTATCCCCTCACCCATCAGTTACGATGAGTTAGCTGTCGCACTCAATAGCAACGCTGAGAACGGCATCCAAGTCGCCCTGGTGTTAGAGGACAACACCGGGGTGCACATCAAGGGGCGCCTGCCCACCCTGGCTGAGCTGGTCGGGCTCGATGCCACCAGGAGGGTTGTAACCACTCAGCGCGATCCTAGAGAAGAAGCGGGAGGGAAATGGTTGGACTCCCGTTGTACGGAACTGATGGACGAGGCATTGTGGGACAACCTCGACCGCCTTCATAAGCAGAGGAAGTGGCGAGAGAAGGGTGTGGCTGAAAGGCAGGCCAAGCGTCAACATCAAGAGGACGAAGAAGCCTTCAGACCCTTTGCACCTTCGAGGACCACCAATCATGCTGTGGCCGGACCCTCCAACACTACTCACAGCCGTGCACCATCTCCCTTCCTCAACAACCCCGTTCCTCCTCCACCTGACTCTTCTGCTCCCAAGCAACCCGCGCCTCCCAATGACGAGGACGCCGAGATGATGGATGGCGAAGCCACTGAGGCCGCCAAGGAAGCCGCATGCGCAAAGGCCAAGGGGCACATTCCCAAGAAGTAGAGGTCGCGGGGCAACCCCTGAAGGAGGGTATGTGACGGATGGACTGGTCCAGACTGATCACTGACTAAGTACAAGCTACTAAGCCCCCTGCCATGTATGTTATCTGAAACAAACGAGAATCATATGCCTGTTAGAAAGTATCACGAGCCTCTGTCTACCTTACAGTATTTAAGACTACTACCTAGTGAAGTAACAGTTGGCGCTCTTGAAATCCTATCTTGTATCTGGTTACCTGGACGTCTGAATTTCCTTACCCTTGTGACGTCTCTAAAAGCTTACCGCTTCTTACCGCCGTCACAGGACGTTTCACTCGATAATATGGCATTAAATCAGAAGGTGCATCCTGGAAGCATGCTCATTGCTGATGAAGTCTCATTTTAGTTAGATGTCGAACTAGAAGACAATCTCAGCGTGTGGTAGAAGAACCGCTGCTATTCATAATACCTAGAAGACAATCTATGGACAGAATACAATGAGAGAAAGTCGGTGTGCAAACATTAAGATACGTACCTCAGCATGTGGTAGAAGAACCGCTGAGGTACGAAGGATGAAAACGAAGAGGTTTATAAAGTACTGTATAGAGTCCGGAATATCAATGACAAAAGAGGAAGATGACAAACGTAAAAGGAAATACAACAAGAGCGATGACGATGTTGAATATCAACACACCCCCTCAACGAGGCAATGCTCGAGAGAGGGGTGACTCAACAATGTACTAACGCGAGACCGGAACAATGGTGGGTGAAGGCAGGTCGTGGGAGGAGTTTCGTGAAGATATCTGCAGTATTTTTGTGCGTGGACAGCCAAATAGGTGCGAAAGTCTTCTCTTCAACGTGTCGTCGAATGAAGTGATATCGCAGATCAATATGTTTCATCCTGGTATGATTGGCTGCTTCCTTCGACAAGGCGATGGCACCGGCGTTGTCTGCGAACAGCTGCAGTGGCAGTGACAGAGGGATGCTAAGGCATCCAAAGAAAGACTGGAGCCATAGTCCGTCTTGGATGGTGGAGGTGAGCGCCATATACTCGGCTTCGGTGGACGACAGCGCTTGCGTGGTTTGTTTCTTCGCAGAGTGCGAAACGGGGCCTCCGTTGTAGAACCAAACGTACCTGGAGATCGACACACAGTCCTCAGGACTGGACGCCCAGTCTGAATCTGAAAAGCCGTGCAGGGATGCGTTTATCCCTGCACCCCCATAATGGACTCGGAGGGTTGATGTGCCCACAAGATAGCACAGAACGTGCTTCGCTGCCACGTAGTGCTTTGGCTCGGCAGAGACGTTATGTTGAGCCAGGCGCATGATGGTAAGCGCGATGTCGGGCCGAGTGTACATGGCCAAGTAGAGGAGTTCACCGACCAGTTTGCGATACTCTGTCTGCAAATCGTCGACATGAGGGAAGACATCGGTTGGACGACCAAAGGGGAAGCTAGGGTCCATAGGAAGGGATACTGGGTTGCAGTTGGACATGCCGTGTTTGGCCAGTAGGTACGTTATGTACTCTTCCTGATGCATCCAGAGTTCACATGTTCTGTGGTCGCGGACAAACTGAATCCCAAGGTACTTCGTTATGGGCCCGAGATCAGTGATGCCGAAGTGTTCCGCTATCTGTCCCTTCGTGCGGTCGAGAAACACCCGATTATTTGATCCTGCAAGTCCGTCATTGACGTGCCACGCTATAATGCAGATCACTCTCACCCCCTCGCCATTGACGTGATCGAAGATGAAAACGGCGTAATCGGCCTCGCAGCGCAAAAATCCAAGTCGACCGAGCACATCACGAAGCAGCTCGTACCAGTCGAATGCCGCCTGCTTGAGTCCGCAAAGGGATGATAGCAGATGCGCCACCAGTGGGAGACCGTTGACATCCACATGTTCGAAGCCTGGGGGTTGACACATATACACGTCTTCCTGGAGTTTCCCCCACAGGAAGGCTCGGCGTGCATCGAAGCAATCGAGCTCCCAGTCATTGGCAGCAGCATGCGCGGATAGGACGCGAATAGAGGTAGACTTCGCTACAGGTGCGAACATTCGTCCGAAGTCGACGCCCAGAATTTGAGAGAACCCCTGGGCCACCAGGCGTGCTTTGAATACAGGGCCACCCTTGAGATCTTCCTTGAACTCCAGTACCCAGCGGCACCCAATTGCGCGATGACCTGCAGGCAGTGATATCAGTTCGTACACGTTCATTTCTGACATCAGGTTCATTTCTTTATGCATGGCAGCACGCCAGTGGTCGCTATCGGGCCTGCGCATAGCCTCGTCGTAAGTTGCTGGAGGGATGCGGAGGTCATACCCAGGAGTCAATGGGTTTCGACGTGAGTCGCTACGGACCGATAAACAGGACACTTCCACTATGATGAGGTTGGCGAGTGCCTGGGAGAAGCCGATCTCATCGTCTTCAGGGACGATTGCATCAGGGTCTGGAGCTGTTGGGACTGGGAGCTCAGGCATGGGAGTCGGCGTTGTGACGATGGGAGCCGGCGGCACGAGAGCATCATTGGAAGGTGGAGGGACACCAGTGATCCACGCGGTGCGAACCTCTCTTTGCCTTGTAAGCCGTGCCTTCACTGCTGTGATACGGTCCTTGAGTTCCTGACCTTTCTCCGTAGGGACAGGAATTCTGCCTGAGCGCCGTATCACCTCAAGGTGAGGAGGCTGGGTTCTCGTGAGAGGTTGAGGCGCAGCAGGTGGAGGAGCAGGGTGAGGCGCAGCATGTGAGGAAGCAGGCGGATCCTCCTCGTCATTGTCGCTGTCAGAGTGCAAACAATTAATGGTGCTCTCATCAAAGATTACATCCCTTGAATTAAAGAACGCGCCGGTGTGCGTGTCATGACATCTCCAAGCCTTTACCCCAGGTGGATAACCCATGAACTGAGCTTCACGGGACCGTGGTCCAAGCTTTTGCTGCTGTTCTGTGGGGATGCGTGCAAAGCAACGCGCCCCGAAAACATGTAAATGAGTGAGGTTAGGCTGATTACCGTGGAGCATCTCATAGAGAGTTTTGCCTGGAGGAAGCGCGCGAGATTCTGTCCGATTGAAGAGATAGCAGGCAGTGAGCGCAGCTTCACCCCAAAGAGATCTTGGCAGGCATGCAAAGTCCAGCATGGCATACATGCGACCTTCGATTGTGTGCATCACACACTCCGCCTTCCCGTTTTGTTGATGAGCGTAAGGTGTGGAGCGTTGACGTGTGATTCCAGCATGTTCGAGGTCTGCTGTGAAGGCGTCACTCATAAACTCACCCCCATTGTCTGAGCAGAAGGTTTTGACACGAGAGCCAGACAAATTCTCCCAGTGTGCACATACCATGCGCCATGCAGTTAACGCCTGATCCTTCGTCACCAGCAACTGCAAGTCGAGCGCGTGAGTGCTGTCATCGAGAAAGATGATGAAATAATGTTTTCCGTGAGGCATGACTGGCTGAATCGGTCTGCAGACGTCCGAGTGAACAAGGTTGAGGAAGTTGGATGTGTGTCCAGTTTCAGATGTGTGGAAAGGCTGGTGGGGATGTTTAGCGACGATGCAAGACTCACAGTGGGAGAGAGGTTTAGCAGATTCTACAACGACTCCCTTGGCAGTGCGCTCCAGGCGAATGATGGTGTTTCTGCCTATATGGCCTATCCGCGCATGCCATAAGTCCAACGTGAGGGGAATGTGCGCAAATGCTGATATCTCCGGTTCACGGATGAGAGCTGTCGAAGGTGAAGTGAAAGGGATGAAGTCAAGATCTATGGCGTAAAGTTTACCCGTGGCAGGGATTGCGCCGAGATGATTCCCCTTATGAGCGAGTTCACACGTCATGTTGGATCTGAAACTGACATCCCACCCTTTAGCGTTCATGCAACTCACGGAGAGCAAATTAAGCATGGCGTTCGGAGCATGCAAGCAATTCGACAGCCGGAGCCGGAGACGACGTTTCCCGATGGTAAGCCATCCCACACATGTCCTGCGTCCTGTTGTCTCCAGGATGCCATGATTTGCCATGTGCACTGGCACAGACTCAGCAGTGGAATATGTGTGGAAGAAACTGCGATCCTTTACCAGGGTCACTGTAGTGCCCGAGTCTAGGATCATGGCGAAAGGCAGAGAAATGGCACAAGAGGCGTCATCGGTGAGTGCTGTAATGGATGTGAAGGAGACATTGTCGTAGAGACTGGTAAGAGCGGCAGGGATAACGGCTGCGGCCACTGCTGGGACTGGCGGGGCGAGTACAGGAGGAGTCGAGATGGCAGCAGCAGCTGTTTCCTTCATATGCTCCTTCTTCTTAGCCCGCATCCACGGCGCCTGACCTTCCATCCCACCTCCTTTACCATAGCAATGATTGTGGTCATGGTCACCTTTGTTGCACCCAGGAGTGGTGCAAAATACTCCATCAGGGTTGTGCCTATGCTTGCGCAAACCAGTGATGGGGTTGACGCCGGATGTATTAACGTTAGGTGCCGTGGCTGCATTAGCATACTCGGAGCCAGGACATGGGGAGTGGATAGCGCGAGTGTGAACGTGCCGTGCGGCCTCTGCTGTGATCCGCGAGACGCAACTCTCAACGGTAAAGGTGGGAGGATTAGTCGCTGTGGCAGTCATTATCTCATCGTGCATCCACTGCTCCAACATAGCCTTGAATTGCTGCCACATGGCAGTCTGTGGTAAACCTATGAGCAGGCTGTAAATGGTGTTGCTGTCTCTTAGAGGAGCTCCTGAATCGTGAAGACGTTCACGGAGGACGGCATGCTGCCCGACGTAATTCGTCGCGTCTGCCGAATCCTTCATTCGAAGGGCGTCAAGACGTTGACGCAGCTGGTATTGCGCACTCGTGTCAGTTCTGTTAAAATGCTCAGCGAGCATCTGCCATGCCTTTTGAGCCGAAACAGCATGTGATCGTGATACTAATGCCCCAACTGACGGACTGAGGCGACGTGTGATGAGGTCCTTTGCTTTTATGTCGTTTAGCAGCCATGCACGCATTGCTGCTGTTTCAGCAGCCGTGACATTGGCTGGGTCGGCGGGCGTTGGCAACATGGACGGGGTCCCGAGGAGGTCTGCAGGATTTACGACCGTATTTATGTGACACCACAGGTCCTCACATGCGAGGGCGTACTGCATCTTGGTGGACCACCCGACGTAGTTCTCTGGTCCTAGCAGTTCGGGGATATGATCAAATTTTCCCATGACGATACCGTCGTGAGGAATGATGAAGCGAGAAGTGAATGAGTGAGCGGTGAGCAAGCACAGAAGCTTTGTCTAGTAGGTTCGGTTGAGGGCTCTGTAGGAGCCAGGGCTCATAACCAGTTAGATGTCGAACTAGAAGACAATCTCAGCGTGTGGTAGAAGAACCGCTGCTATTCATAATACCTAGAAGACAATCTATGGACAGAATACAATGAGAGAAAGTCGGTGTGCAAACATTAAGATACGTACCTCAGCATGTGGTAGAAGAACCGCTGAGGTACGAAGGACGAAAACGAAGAGGTTTATAAAGTACTGTATAGAGTCCGGAATATCAATGACAAAAGAGGAAGATGACAAACGTAAAAGGAAATACAACAAGAGCGATGACGATGTTGAATATCAACAGTTTTCTCACATTGTTTCTTCGTCGATCCCATCATTCAGGCAAACTGTAGCATGCATACGCATACAGTGGCGCACCGCAAAGTTCAAACGTGACAGCGATTCAATTCTTTTTCTTTTGAAATTGCCTGTGTCACATGATATCTCACAATCCCACGCTACCCTCACTTGGAGTCGCTCCCTTGTTGCTGGACGGCGACAATGCAACATGCGCATAATCCGAGTTTACTTCCTTTATCCTCCCATGACTCTCCGATTTGCGTGCTGCTGTCACTCGAAGTGAGCTATTCTCTGAACAGGACATGATTAATGAGACACCACCTTGAAAAGCAAGTCTAGTGATGCCAGCTCGCAACTTCAAGTGATGCATGATCCGCCGTCTTCCGGGCAGCCTGCCGCCTAGTATGACGTCATTTATGAACTCAGTTTGTCCGAGTCTTAATGAAGCTTTGTTGCTATGAATTTACCTGCTTTGTATGGGTGGGGGAGCTCGCGTGTGTTCATACTCAATTGCCGCGGGATAGCTCCATTAAGCATCAGTGAATTGATGAGTCCTCGATATTGTAGCCGTGGGAAGTATAGCACAATGTAATTCTGCTGCCGCCAAATATTAGCTTTTATACTGTGAGCAATTTGAGTTGCACATATATACCCATGTATGCTTGTAAATCCAGCTTAACATGAATGATTTATGACAATGCTGGGACACTCCGCCTTTGCAGCCAATGAGTAGTGGTAGTATACCCGAGCCAATCATTTTGAGCTTCGACATCTCACCTAGTCTCGTTTTTTAATTACAATGTTATTCAAGGCCTTTTCAAGGAAAGAGCCTCTGGCATTTGTCAATTAATCTAGAATGCCATTAGATTTAGCCACAAAGCTATGACATTCCTCCTTTTCAGACGATGAGGGGTGGTAGTAGACTTATCCTAACTATTTCGTGTATTGCCATTTGGCCCTATTTATTTGTCCTATTACAATGCTATTCAAGCCCTTCTAATACCTTTGGTGCTGGACATGTATTTTTGTAACACATCAGGTAAACATAATTCACTACAGAGTGCTACAGAGCGCTCTGTAGCACTCCGTAGCACAATCCAACCCGCTGATTGGCAGTAAGTGCAGCCCTTCATTTTGCTGTAATGGGGAGCTGCAGAAATCAAAATTTCATCGCAGTCGAGAATGTACTAATTGATAATTTGATACATGCATCATAAAGGATAAAGGAATCGTGAAATATTGCAACCTGACTTGAAAAAGTTAATCGTGATAGCCAGAGAGCGTGAAAGCGGCAAAAACGGGGGTAAGATCCAAAGCACAAGAGTGAGTATGAGTAAAATATCAATGAAGTACTATCGATGGGCTTTGCCATTGGCCTTCGTCGTGGTAGATGGTGTGCCATTGCTCTTGCCACCTGTAATGGGCTGAGGCTTCTTAGCAGACGTCGAGGCTTCCACAGACGCTTGTGGTGCAGCTTCCTTCATCACCATTTTGGTATGAATGTCCCCCAATTTCGACGCCTTGACTTTCTTGGGCCAGAGAAGTGTTATGAAACTGCGGTCAAAGATGAACATCGATACAACTAGTCTAGGTGTTAGTACTCACACCCAAAGATGTCGACGCCATCGTTCTTGGTCCTCTCCAGCAGCTTGTTTATTCTGAAGAACAATCTCGATGCGTCGTCCAATAGCGGCTAAAGAATCCTTCAGAATGGCAACTTTATCGTCTTATATGCCAGAACCTGCAGACGTTTGGAATTAGATGGACTTCAGAAACCACATAAATGTTGACTTACTTGGAAGCTTTCCTTCCCTGCCCAGGCATTGGCCAGATTTCTACGTGCAGCTGTTTAGATATGATGGCATATCACAAAAACGAGTGTGCCAGGGTGTGGCTGAGCGTGACGCTCGGAAGACCACAAGCCTTGCCTCCAGCACCTAGATACTCGAGGACGGAGTTGATACGAAAGACGTGTGTTGCGACATAGTGAGCATCCTGCCCGTGGACAGAGTAGTAGTCTGTGCGATCAAATAGACGGATCGTTCCAGTTTCAGGAGATTTCTTTGGGAGTTTGGAAAAGAATGCAACGAAAGGTCAGAGTTAAAATTTCTGTTGTCGAGCAATCGAAGACTCACTCGGTTCATGCTCTGCATCTTTCCCTTCCCATACATGAGAGCCATGCTACCGTTAAATCTTGACTTGATAATAGAAGGAAGAAGTGAAAGATAAAATGTGTCGTGTCACGCGTATTGAAAAAATTGCTCCCGCTCTCTTTTGCAAATCTGCTCGTGTATTAGGTTGCAATCGGCACTGTGTTGCTGTGTTTTACATAACTTTCGCACTACCTCGGCTGGGGCCAAAGTGGTACATAGCGGTTTACTTGACTACTAGATTACACATTCACTATTTGGTTTGACCGGTGATTAGCAATACTTAGTAAGTATCTTCTTGAATGAGCGCCAAGGCTTTTTCAGAGCAAGCCTTGATCAAGCACTCAAAGGGCTTGGGGTGGCTGCGAGTATGTATGTTCAGAGCACTGTGGTCATATTAAGATACGCAACATACCTGATTGACCCGGATGAGGGGTCAATTTCAGGGGTGATTTCAACGCCATTTTCGACAACCTTGGAAACGTCAAACACCGCAAGTGACATCGCGGCGCATATCCAGATGGATGCATCAGCGAGATGCAGACCTGTCCAGTCGAAAGCAACCAAGGTCAGAAAACTGTCTTGTCAGTCAGCACCCTGTCAGTTGCGCATACCTGGGCAGAGCCTGGGGAACAGAACCTTAACATTTCACTTAGAAATATAACAGCGACTTGATCCTTACCGTCTACCAAAACCGAAGCATGCCCTGCGAGGATCTGCCTCAGGCTCTTTTCCATCCTTGGCCAAAAAGTGCTCAGGATTGAATTCTGAGGGGTTGCTATATGTCTGCGGATCATTGAGCATGAAACTGTCACAATTCAAAGCGTTAATACAGTGGATATGCGATGAGGAAGGTACAAACCATATATTAGGGAGCATCAAAGAACCTTTTGGAATGTAATACCCATCGTGGATGTCGTCCAAAAGAGGTATACGCGGAAAATGGTGCACCGAACCTATGGTGCAATACAGTATAAGCGGCGGGTCTAGTACTTCAAGTCTGCGTAGTTCCTTCATGATACAAAGGTGCGAAAGGATGCTTGAGCACATAACCCGGGGACACTGTTGTTTCAAATAAAACAAAATAGGCGGTCTGGTTTGTTGGTAACGCAGACGACGAGCTCGTGCTCGCAGCCATGGACCAACGATTGAGATCGAAATGTAACAAGCTGAGCTGTGATACGTATCACAAGACGGAGGTGAACACTCCAGCGAGTAGTACTTGCAAGAGACGGCTGGAAGTGATATGATCACGCAATTAATCCTGGAGTGTGCAGTCAAGTACTTACAAGCTATCCTTTGTCACCAGAAATGTGCTAGACAAACTATGACTGAGGCGCGGTTGGTATATTGATGAAGAAAAAACACCGATTAGTGCAGAAATGCTACTTGCATACGTAAGCTTAATGACCAAAATCGGAGTTAGTAAGACTTCAAGCGCTTTGGTGTCTGCGCGCGTTAACAACTCGTGCCGCGAAGATCATAGTGGAGATGTTTTGAATGCTCGGAGACAAGTACTTATACAGATTGGCAAGACAGATTTGTAAGTATGACATCGAAACAACTTGAACACAATCACAATGCGCAATGAGGAACTAGTATGACTGTCAGTCCGATGAGATGAAAACATATGCGAGCTCGAGTCAGAGTAGATATCTAGTAAGGCGGGAGATACACTATCAAACACCCAGTTACCGTAGTGCACGATGCATGCTAATCATCAATGCCTCAAATCTCAAGTGTTCATCCTCAGGCAACATGCGTAGACGAGACTTCGTGAACGTGTAGTAGACCTTGTTCTCCTCGCCGCGAAAGTCCAAAGCTGCAGACCAAGGACCCGCTAAGGCTTTTTGCAATGACCAAGCACGCGAGGTTACTGCAAGGGCGATGACGTTGGTAAGGAGGGGTTGCCAAGACTCTGTATCGAGGGGAATATAACGAGAGTATTGCTTGCAGGATATGATGTGTTCTAACAGGTCAAAGATGGCCTTGTGGCCACATGGAGTTCGACACAACCTGATTTGCCCGTCGTCCATGGTCACCTAAAATGTATAGAGTATAGTGAACACCGAAAACGTAAGGTTTGATCACAAAACTCGGACCTACCTCAACAATTTTATCCGCAAATAGAAAGTCTGATAGCAGGGCTGCAATATTTGCGACCCGTGCTGCTTGCATTTCGTCTCTTGAGAGAGATAGATCAAGGCTCAAGTCATAAGCTGATATCCAAGAGATACTGGCGACCTCCTCGAAGTCGCCATGTATCTCCTTCAGGATTGCTTTGAGCCTCGCGAGAAGGTTCTTAGCGTCCGGCCCCGATTTCCAACGGATGAGTTCATGCCCGTGGTTGACGTTATTGCTGGTATAGCGAGCAATCGTCGCGTCTAGCGTGTTGTTGGCAATGGTGGAGAGTTCAGATGCGGACGGAAAGAGATTGTCTTCGAATAAGTTCTTGAACATGTCGGTCCGAGCGTCCCCTTTGAAATCCTGGAGTAATGTCGGTGTTAAAAAGACGAACGACGAGGACGCCTGTTCCATGGACAGGGATGATTCCTGGGTGACGTATTTGGAATTGAGGAACTTCGTCCAGGTAGAGGTGGCATGTTTGGTTTTGCGGGAGGTATGCCTACCCCGGATCAACTTTTGAGTCGTCACTTCAGGTATGGGGTCAAGGGGGGCCTGTAGCCGTCGTTAGACATGGCGGGCTGAGAGTTGTTTGAGCTGTGGGATACCACGGAATGGTAGGTGTCAGGAAGGGGAGGAGGATCGTCCGTGCCGTGTGATAGAGTGAAGTTGTAGTTGTGACCGTCGTAGTAATGGCCGCCCCCATCATGCGCTTGGAAAGAATGTGGCAGTGTCATTTGCACGCCCTGCTGGCTGCTACCTGAGGGCACCAAGTAGTTACCGTGTTGAACTTAAAGATCGTCGAAGTTAGAACGGCAGAAATCAATTATACACAAAATAAATACCATTCAGGTGACTGATATCGTGTGTTGGCAGCTCGAGATGGCCACCGGCAGAGAATTGGGAACCGGGCCCGTCATAGTGCTGGACTGGCTGCTCAAAGTCGACGTTGCCTTGGGTGTTCGGGTAGCTGTCGTAAGTGTGATGACCTGCACTGGGTCCTGCGTGAACTTGAAGATTGTGAGTGCAGAAGGCTGATGCAACATGAAAAACTTACCATCACCATGATCAAAGGCGGCATGAGACTGCCATTCAAAATCTGACATGTCCATTATGCAAGAGTCTGATCAATAACGACTTGTAAGCGGCAGTGGGTGAAAGTAGAGGGGAAAAATTGACCGTGATGCTTCGTATCCCCACCGGTAGTCAGATGTTCAAGCTCGGCATGCCAGACGCGATACCAAATCTATTGGACAACGTTATTAAAACTTACAATATTATTATTTCGATCTCGTTGAATTAGGCCCCTGTAGCTCGACACAGCATCCGATTGGAGGGACGTGCTTATTTCCTGTTTGGGATGCATACAGATTTGACAAGTCGACGCATCCTACATTAATTCCCGCTATCATAAGGTTTGGGGTGAAACAAGGTGCAACTCGTGTCGTCGCCAAATGGAGTTTGATTGCATTGCGCAGCCCTACGGCTAGTAGCTTCCGAGCCTCGCGCCTAGGAAATTCGGAACCTTCCACTGATTCCAAATTAGTCAGGTCAGCCAATTTTGAATTCAGCGTCAGCTGCTGTCAACTGACTCGGGCTCAGAACGCTTCTCAATGCCATCCAAAGTCACGAGCACCCGAAACACACCCTCTGAAGCGCGAGCGAGGACTCATCAGCAGTCAAAAAATACGAAGACAAGTAACAAAACATCCGATCGCGCGAAGAGAATGAGCGCTACAAAAAAACAAGGCGTGAGAAAAGGGCACTCAATATATCCACGGAATTTGCAAAATACGTGTCTAGAGAGGCCTCCATTTATGTCCAACATTATACTGGTGCCGGGTCATGCAGCCTGCCGGAATGTCCCGGCACCATGGGTCCAGCTGAGCGGCTGCGCCGACTCTTCCCTTCATCCGTTTTCATTCTGTACTCACTGTCGAGCTCGTCGTACTCTACACCTCCTCACTCGTTCCTTCAAAGTCTTCAAATCCTGCCCGCCACTCCCTTTTTTTTGTTATCTCAAGCATCTATCAATTTTAGTGTCACACACACTGTAGTTCTCCGTTTTTCTTTACTGAATTATCATTACATTAATGGTTCCTTTCGTTACATATTTCATTGAATAAATGCTTATCAGTCCTTGACATATTCAAATTTCGTGAGCAGGTATCCCGCCCTCCCAGCGGCTCCACCTGCTCGCGTACCACCCCGAGCTAACGCTCGGCCCAGCCCAACCTGTTAGAACGTGTCAGCGACCCTAGAGCTAGACGAAGCTGGATCTTGATTTCCTGAGCCCCAATAGTTGACCGGTAATATTGTATTTACTGAGTCCGCTTTGGAATTAAAATCGACGGATAATCCGATAATCCAACTGAACTTCTGAAGTGCCGTTCTCGTTCGGCTTCACAACAAGTCGTCCGCAACAGCTGTAATAATTGGTACATGTCATGTTGTAAGCTATCGTAACAAATGGATGGCTGGGTGACTCGGAAGAGATAACTAATACTGACACAACTCGAATGAATGAAGAACAAATAAAAAAGTGGGGCCTGGCGCCCCACATCATCGATGTAACTACAGGGGAAACTTTGTCCCAGCATCAGGGAAACGTAATTCACTACAGAGTGTTACAGAGCGCTCTGTAGCATTCCGTGGCACAATCCAACCCGCTGATGCATCATCCATCACAAAAACAAAAGTGCGATTCTACTGCTGCTTTCCTGTTGCTACGGCTCGATGATTGGCCTGTCGCCAACAAGGTCAGTGCAAAGTTAGGTGACTCCAAAGGAATACTGATTACTTCAGCTGGCATCGGCAGAACCTCCCAACTTGGAGGTTGTTCGGAATCGGTCTTCTTCCGAGTTCGTAAGTGCAATGCCAGAGTCGTCAGAGTCGCTAGTCACATCTGTGACTTTGAGCTGGTCATCAGCTGCGACATTACTCACACAATATAAAAAAAACATACGAGCATTTTCGAGATAATCCAGCTGAGTATCTCCAACAGAGAACAATGCAATATCGTCGCTATATGCTGTGACACTGCAGTCTATCTGTTCCTTGATATCCTTCTCATCGGATCTTACGAGCTCCTGGGCTGATATTCCAAGGGGCTCTTGAGAAGCATTTGCGTATTTTTCCCCCTCGTCCTCCAAAACCATGTGAAGGAACTTTAAGTGCTCCTCACTAGCATAGATTTCCCACGCCGTTGCCAGAGCAGACACACGCCTCCATTCAACGTCAGCGTGCATCGTAACGACAGCTTGAGCTGCAGCCCCAGGAGACAACCTTCCCAGGCAACGCTCAAGCACATCTTTGCTCTGGTATTTTTTTGTCAATAAGCAAGTTCTACATTTATATATCACAACATACCTTTTCAGCATCTTCCTGACTCATTGAGTCTTTGTGACGCAACTGATTGTCAAAAAAGCGGCGCTCCAATCTGGTAGAGCCATTCCTCTCATAAGGCTTTGGGTTTGATTTTGCACGCTTGACAAAACGAGATAGATGGTGGATTATGGGAGGAGTAGTTACAGGTTCGTTTATGTCGCTGTCGGTTTCGTCTGATGATGGTGACCTTGCACGTTTGGTTCGCGGGACATGCCGACTGAAAGTTCTACCAGTCGTCATATCAAGAACTGGAGCAGGTTCATGTGTATCCACAGTCATGTGACGATTAGGTCCATCACTGCCCTCACACTCATGACTAGACCCTCTGGAAGAATGAGAAGGACTGTGAAAGGACATGCTTAGCGTGGGCAGGGGATCAAGAGGGAGGCAAGTATGTAGGTTCCAAAGGCTGAACAGTCGCTTATGAGTACGTGTACGTATAATATTAATATAACTGTAATTCCTATATTGAACCTACGTCGTATAAGGCAAAAAGATAAGCAATTTGAAATACGGATAGCATGAAACTCCGACTCGAACTCTCACTGGATGTACGTATATACCGAAGTGGAACATTCGAACGTTGAAGGTCGAAGCTTCGGAACTTGGAAGCTCAGACGAGGCAGTATAGCCGGCGTCAGTAATACTTCATGTGGTTTTCACAAAAAGTACTTTGGATCCTGTTGTTTTTTTCAATGGTGTCTTGCGGAGCTCGAGGTTGCTCTTGGGAGAGAGCAACAGACAATCGAGGACTTAACAGACATCGCGCGAGCTGCAGCTTTTTCAGGAGGTCTAGTGTTCTTGCAACACAGAAAAGACTAGAGCGTGCGAGGAATGCGACTTCAGCACATTTAGCTGCAAATATGTCCACGAACGCTTCACAAGTGAGTCGATTGGTTTCTGACAAGTCAGAGTTGAATCACTAAACTTGTCAATAGAGAATCTTACCATTGAAGCCTTTCAGTGCCCCTTGTAAGCCCATGGCTGGGCCTAGGTCTAGTCCAGCAGCTCGTATGTCATCCGATGTCCCCAGCCCGAGTCTCAAAATTGCCGAGTTGCAGCACCCCTTTAATAACTCCGACTTGGAAAGGCGACAAAATGTTGACTTTGACATGGACGACGGGCTTAGTCTTGGAAATGGATGTCATTGTGAGATCTTATGTCCGAATATTTGATGTCTGCTGATCACTCTACCGGGTTTTAGAAGTTCCCGTACTTCCTAGGAGACGTATTCCAAGGTCTTTCAATGATATCAAGCATCCAGCTGAGGATCTCAATGACTGCAATAATGTTCCTGTTCAACCACTCCCAGCCCGGTCCAGAATCCGGCGTGTCCTTCTTACGCTGAGAGATACTCTTCAGACCACCTTTGACTCGGTTGGGATCTGTTGTCTATACCCTCGCCGTCCTTCATTTGAGCCCGATAGATTCGTACCGTCTTCATTACTTGCCAATTCGTGTCCGATAATCGTCCAAGGAACTGACTCCCCAGCAAAGATCTTTCTGCCACCCTACCCATTTCCAAATATGACTATTTATCGCCTCATGACGTGGATGAACTCGGGCAGTCACCAGAAATCAGAGACTGAGGTCCAGCGACTCGTCAGTGATGTTCTCCAGGCTGACGATTTTGACACGAAGCATCTTGAGGGATTTTCGGTTAGGAAGAACTTGAAAGAATTGGATAAAGATAAGGGCGAGGAGAAAGTCACCTTCCCAGATGACTGGATCGAGACCGATGTCACCATCGACATCCCTATGAGATCAAGGGAGGAAAGCCCAAAGGCGTATAGTATTTCCGGATTCCATTATCGCCCTCTTGTTGAAGTGATCCGCGTGGCATTTGCAGACATCCAAGCAGGCGCATTCCATCTACTGCCTTTCAAACGGCTATGGAAGGATCCAATGGACGATCACCAGGAGCGAATATTCGATGAGCTCTATGCTTCTGATACCTGGCTAGAAGCTCAGGACGATCTCCAGAAGCTGCCCAAAGAGCCTGGCTGTACATTAGAATGCATCATAGCGGGTCTTATGTTCTTTTCTGATGCCACTCACCTAGCAAATTTTGGCACTGCTAAGGCATGGCCCCTCTACTTGTATTTCGGCAATCTGACGAAGTACGCACGATCATTACCTCAATCGGGAGTGTGCCATCTAGTAGGATTTTTACCTTCGGTGAGTCCTCCTGGTTTGATTCTCGACTATTAACATGAACGGTTTTTGTTAGCTCCCTGACAGCATTAAAGATGTATTAAGCAACCTGTCTGGTATATCAAAGACTGGCATGGCCTCGCTTCATACACACTGCCGTAGGGAGTTATTTCATGCATGCTGGGAAATCTTACTTGATGAAGAATTCCTTCGAGCATACCGCCACGGTATCATTCTGACTTGTCCGGATGGAGTCCTGCGGAGAGTATTTCCAAGAATATTTACCTATTCTGCTAATTATCCAGAGAAGTACAGCCATCCTTTTCCCTAATTTGAACCGTTAGATCATTCATCACTTTTCAGGGTTTTGATCGCAACCATCAAGGATATGGGCACATGCGCATGTCCTCGCTGTCTCACACCAAAGAAATTGTTTGGTTCCCTCGGTTTACTTAAGGACATGAAAAATCGTATAGCTACACTTCGAGTGTACGCTACAACGAAAGTCGACAAAGCACGCGAGTTTATCTACCGGTGGGGAAACACTGTACTCGGTTCAAAGGTTGAAAATGCTCTTGGAGAGGGTTCCTGGGTACCCACCATCGTAAGCGCAAACAGTTCTTCACGACTTGTGATTAGCTGAGATCAGTTCCCCTAGAATCAATTTGCCAAGAAGCTTGGGCCGCTCGGCCTCGACCCATTTTGCATGCTCGTTGTTGACCTTATGCACGAGTGCGAATTGGGTACTTGGAAGGCGCTGTTTACGCACCTTGTATGGCTTCTTTATGCTCTTCCTGGGGGTAGCCAGCTGGTGGCTACTCTTGACAGCAGGTTCGTGAATTCATAGAGTGCTGTCACTATTTACTAATGCATTGTCGACTCTCAATAATACCGTAGATTTCGCCAGGTCCCCACGTTTGGTCATGGCGTGATTCGAAAATTTGCCAACAACACATCTGAGATGAAACGATTAGCGGCGCGTGACTTTGAAGATATCTTACAGGTTATTTCATCTTTCGTTTTTTCTTAGACTAACTGACATGTTCCCCAAGTGTTCTATTCCAGTTTTTGAAGGGTTGTTTCCACCAGACCACGATGCAATCGTGCAGTCTCTGTTGTATCGATTCGCACAGTGGCATGTGCTCGCTAAACTTAGAATTCATACAGAGTCTACGGTTACTTTTTTTGACGAGATATTCAAGAAGCTCTGTCAGAACTTGCGGAAGTTTCAACGCAACATGTGTGCTGCCTTCAATACCATCGAATTACCGAAAGAAAAAGCGGCTCGCCAACGAAGACTCGCTCAGCACTCAGAACCCCATACCACCTCTCCAGAAGTGAATGGATCGAGGGTAAAGAAGTTCAATCTTGGCACTTACAAGTTCCATGCAATGGGTGATTATGTTAGAACCATCAAGCTCTTTGGAACAACGGATTCTTTCACCACTCAAATAGTATGTGCCTGTTTTATTTACACTATCCACCTGATGTTCAGTTTGGCCAGGGAGAGCTTGCACACCGAGCCCTAAAGGCATTTTACCCGCTAACCAGTAAATTAGATACTCCAGCGCAGTTAGCTAAACACGAGCGGAGGCGCCGTGTACTTCGACGTGTTGCAGAATTTGGAGGCACGTCATTCTCCTCTGATAGCCAATCGCCTACTGAAGCCACGCCTTTGGTGCTCTCTCGAAACCATCACCACATCGCGAATACTAAAAGCAATCCAGTCAACCTATTCCCCTTCCTTCGAGAACACGATGGCGACCCAGCAGTTAAGGTAGGCATGATATTGCGGTTGGAACGCTTTTCTCACAATAGTCGTCAGAATTTTATTCCAAGGCTGAAGGACTACATCCTTTACAGGCTGCGCAAGCTCGACACCAGTCATTGCGACCACGTCTTCACAGATGAAGAACACAACTCAGTAGTTATCCCTAATAACACTATCTACTCAGTCCAAACCATGCAGGTGTATTACACTACATACGACCTCAGACGCGAATATGATACGATCAACCCTAGGACCCACGCCGACGTCATGGTGCTTTCGAGGGAGATGACACCCAGCCACCCATATTGGTATGCTCGCGTGCTGGGTATCTACCATATGGAAACCTGGCTCAACGATGGAGATCAACCTGTAAAGCACCGTCTTGAAGTCCTCTGGGTCCGATGGCTAGCACCATTACGGAACCATAAATGCAGCATGAAACATACTCGTCTTCCGAAAGTCGCATTTGTTGATGAATCTGACCCTGACTCATTCGGGTTTCTTGATCCAGACCAGGTGATTCGAGGAGCTCACCTGATTCCTGCTTTTTCCGCGGGACGAGGCATAAGCTCCCTTTCCCTTGGGAAATCATTGGGACGTCCTGATGGGGAACTAGATGATTGGGAATCATATTATGTTGGGATGTGAGTGTGCTAGCATAATACCTTTTATGATACGTTAACCCTCAAGTCTTTGGTTAGCTTTGTCGATCGAGATATGTTTATACGCTATACTCACTTTGGCATTGGACACCCAGTAGTGTTGCACAAGATAACCAGAGACTGTCTTGGCTCACTAGTAGCGGCCCCAGCTGACTGTGACTCGGACGCTATGGATATCGTTGACGATGTAGACCTTGAAGAAGCAGAACATGACGATGAACAGGACTCGGATGAGGATGAGCTTAGCGATGAGGAGCTGGATGGAGATGATGGAGATGGAGATGGAGATGGAGATGAGGATTTGTTCGATGACCATCTTTCTTTTTAATTTTTCCTCTATCGAGTTAAGCCTTCAATTACTAGGTTTGGCAAGCAGTACGATGTACACGCTTTACAAGCTGTCTTTGTCCGCAGACGTACAGCGTGTAGCTACTACAACATGATTACTAGGCTGGTCACCGTGACCCTCTTTGGTTCAACGAGTTTCTTTCCATCATGTATGCTTCACGTGCCCTCGAAACCTTTTCAACCTCTTCAACGGCCTTGTATTAGCACCGCCGATCAGCAGGTTGGATTGTGCTACGGAGTGCTGCAGAGCACTCTGTAGCACTCTGTAGTGAATTACGTTTGCCTGATGCAGCTGTACCCGTACCGTGAGGGCCGACGTTCCGAGTCCCTTCTGTGACCTGATCCATCATTATTTCGTCATTCTCATCTGCATCTCGACTCGGTCAGGACAATTATTTTAATTTCTATCTACATTATCATGGTTTGTCGCTGATGGACCCGGATATAAGGCCTCAGCCCAGGTGTCGGTCTGCATGTCTACATAGTACTAGTGCTGACATTCCTATGATGACGATATGCTACAACCTAGCAAGTTAGGCTTCGAGCGATGCACCCGTTCCTTGGACCCTAGTAGGCACCCACACCAGTTTGAGTATGGTTGACTCTTTTATCCATGTACGTTTTCAGCTAATTTTCAGTGTCAACTGCCAACGTAACAATAAATTTATTCAATTACGTTGGTAGCACTTATGATCATCATTACTAGTTTATTCACAAGACCATTTCCAGCGCACGCCTACAATGGAAAACCTGAACGTCAATGTCTTCAGGGAAGTTTTTTTTGGCTAATACTAAAAGTTTGACGATTAAAACTAAATATAGTGAGAGCCGCTAGTGAACGCTAGCCATCAGTCTCCTACTCTCTCACTCTTCCCCCTTTCCCTGCCCCCCTTCTGCTCATGTCCCAGATGGAGGATGATCAGCATCCCAAAGAATTGTCCCAGGTGGATAACACCCCACGACCTCCCGCAGCATCACCCATAGTGGTAGCACCGACGTCTGCCAGTGAGAATGCTGGTCAGAAACGGAAAATTGCTGACTTAGAAGAGAACCTCATGTCGGGGCATACATTGAAAAGGTATGAGCCTCGCTTTTACATCTAGTCTGGTGGAAAACAATCTCACAAGGACGGGCTGTCATCAGACAAATGATTACCTTACTCGATAACATTGAGGACTT